TTGCTTAGTAACAATGTTAGATTTACCCTGTTGCTCAGTAGCATTGTTAGATTTACCACGTTGCTTAGTAACATTGTTAGATTTACCATGTTGCTTAGTAACAATGTTAGATTTACCACGTTGCTTAGTAATATTGTTAGATTTACCCTATTGCTTAATAGTAACATTGTTAGATTGACCCTGTTGCTTAGTAACAATGTTAGATTTACCATGTTGCTTAGTAGCATTGTTAGATTTACCACGTTGCTTAGTAACATTGTTAGATTTACCCAGTTGCTTAGTAACATTGTTAGATTGACCCTGTTGCTGAAGAATACTGTTAGATTTACCCTGTTGTTTAGTAACATTGTTAGATTGACCCTGTTGCTTAAGAATACTGTTAGATTTACCTTGTTGCTTAGTGGCATTGTTAGCATTGTTAGATTTACCATGTTGCTTAGTAACATTGTTAGATTTACCTTGTTGCTTAGTAACATTGTTAGATTTACCCCGTTGCTTAGTAACATTGTTAGATTTACCATGTTGCTTAGTAGCATTGTTAGATTTACCACGTTGCTTAGTAACATTGTTAGATTTACCCTGTTGCTTAGTAACATTGTTAGATTTACCCTGTTGCTTAGTAACATTGTTAGATTTACCCTGTTGCTTAGTAACATTGTTAGATTTACCTTGTTGCTTAATAACATTGTTAGATTTACCCTGTTGCTTAGTAACATTGTTAGATTTACCCCATTGCTTAGTAACATTGTTAGATTTACCCTGTTGCTTAGTAACAATGTTAGATTTACCCTGTTGCTTAGTAACAATGTTAGATTGACCCTGTTGCTTCCTCAGGTTGTTAAGTTACTGTGCTGTATCCTTTAATTGTTATAAAGCACAAACTCAGTTTTGAAAACGCGAATTTACTTACCCATTCATAATTTTTATTGTTAAAAAATATATCTTTCACAGACTTTGTCATGAAATAAGCACTTTTATCTCGCTGTGCATGTGCAATTATTAATAGCAACCAAATAAAGAAGATATATCCAAAAATTTCACGCATCAAAGCGTACATCTTCTTGACTCGAATCTTGGCTTCTTTACTCTGGTGTACTAATTCTTGAGTTGGTGGAAAGTATTTTTCATTTTCAGAACGAAGTTTTTCAATTTCTTCATGTCTATGATGTAGTTTATTCCAGTCATCTAGATGATAAAACAAGATGTGAATTTTAAGTAGTTCTGAATCAAATTAAACAATTATATAAGCACACATTCCCAGCAAAAACGTTGTTTTAATCAAAGAAAGCTTAGAAAGAACCACTGCAATGAAAGAAAACCAAGTACACTTACCAACATTAACTGGCAAGGTACACTTACCAACATTAACTGGCAAGGTACACTTACCAACATTAACTGGCAAGGTACACTTACCAACATTAACTGGCAAGGTACACTTACCAACATTAACTGACCAGGTACACTTACCAACATTAACTGGCCAGGTACACTTACCAACATTAACTGGCAAAGTACACTTACCAACATTAACTGGCAAGGTACACTTACCAACATTAACTGGCAAAGTACACTTACCAACATTAACTGGCAAGGTACACTTACCAACATTAACTGACCAGGTACACTTACCAACATTAACTGGCAAGGTACACTTACCAACATTAACTGGCAAGGTACACTTACCAACATTAACTGACCAGGTACACTTACCAACATTAACTGGCAAGGTACACTTACCAACATTAACTGACCAGGTACACTTACCAACATTAACTGGCAAGGTACACTTACCAACATTAACTGACCAGGTACACTTACCAACATTAACTGGCAAGGTACACTTACCAACATTAACTGACCAGGTACACTTACCAACATTAACTGGCAAGGTACACTTACCAACATTAACTGACCAGGTACACTCACCAACATTAACTGGCAAGGTACACTTACCAACATTAACTGACCAGGTACACTTACCAACATTAACTGGAATTTCATCTACTTCCTCACTCCCATCATCATCAACATCCATTGATTTCAAAAACAAAGCAACAAATACTGCCACGAATAGTACCTGTAAATTCAATCAAAGAAAGCATAAACAAAACGTACATGTGCTGATTGAGAGTATCTGAAACTGAAAATAGGGAATATTTAATTCAACATTTGAAAAAGAAGCCTGTTAGCTCTGTCCTTTGAGATGTACAATGTGAAAGCAATCTGATCTACAGTATTGACGTTTATGCAAATTAGGTCATTAATATGCATGGGTTTTGACCTCTAAAGTAATCGGATTTTGGGATTATCTAAGAGCAACTATATATGAAGTTTAATGTAAAATACAGGAAAAAAGGTATATTCACAAAATTTTATTTTCACTGAACCATACCTTCAGTAAAAATAGCGGAAAATAAATTTTTAGCGAAAATAAAGTATTTTTCGGTAACAAATTTAATCAATGAATTATGATATGAGAATCAGGATATTTTTTTTTAAATATTAATATCTGTTCGACAGTTTCATACATTAAATGTAACTACATGTATTTCAGTTCCAGACATTACAGTTGTTCACGTCTGCCTTTGAACGTATCGCCAGATTTCCTTGTCTTTTACCATAAGGATTCATTTTCTGTTGTTGCTCAAAAAAACAGGTATGGTCACCAAACTAAATTTTTGCACAAAACGTGTGTTTTTGGTTCCTATGGTAGATCAATATCTCAAAATGTTAATAAATTATGTATAATTAATATTGGTACTAATAGTCGTTCTGAAGAATTGGGAAATATACTATTTATTGTATGGATTACTAAAACATGAATAGTTTAAAAACTACTTTTGCATATTTTTATCAAAAAAGTAAAATACCCGAAAAGTATATATTTGTGTATAAATCAACAATTACCAGGTATGTGACATTTTAGAAACAAAAATATTTTATTTTGTTAACTCTGTCTCGGTATCAACCAAGCACAAGAATTTTTCTGCAAACTAAAGGTAACCACCACCATACAATCACTGTCACAAAACATATGTAAATTGTCACTGTACCAATTTATCAGATTTAAGATGAGGATAGGTGGGATGTACATCAATCAGCGTCCTTGTAACAACAACTCGCATCAATTTCATAGCTAAGCTGACATAAACACGCGACTTTGCATTCGATTTCCTTTGGGAACTTGACACAACACTTGACCATGAAAATTTACCACAGCACACGACATTGTTTTTGATTTCATCACGAGTAAATACAGGTTTATAGTAGGAATTCTGCCAAGGTGTAATGCTGAGGGGATAGCTGAATTAATGAACCTTGGCTGGTGAAGATGGTTCTAAATTCTCAGACTATTGTTTCATTGTCATCGCATATTTATAAACTATGTATCACACCTTTTCACTATTTTGAATACCTTCGCTCATTTCTCTCGTCACAATCAAATCGTTTCAAGTAGCTTTTGTATTCTATAATGCCATAGGTCAGAATTAGTTTTATTGATACATACATAGAATGGAATACGCTATCAACCACACATGATTACAAACCCCTATCTTAGAAATCATTGGGTATACTTACATTCAGCGGCTGGTCCACAAAGATGCTTTCAAAAAGCGAAATAAACATGGATATCAACCAATCAATAGATTTTTGTTTGCCGTAACTGAGTCCATAAAGCATGACGAAATAAGCCGACACCACACTTGTGCAGAAAACCAAAAACCAACCAACATAGACAAACCACCACGGTAACCAAAAAGAACAACTGCATTCTCTTGTTTTATTTTTAATGCCTTCGAGAACCTCAGAATGAGTACTCTGTGTCGGGAATTCCATATGGCAATCATATTTCGCATAGTCCACAAATTTTTCTTGGCTTTTTCGTATTCCTCCTCGGATTCAAACTTTCCAGAATCTCGTTTCTCTATAAGTTCTTCATTAAGCTGTTGGAATTTTAAAATTATATACTCCTTGTAGCCAACGTTTAGCTCTGTCATGCTAGCTGAACTGTGATACGATGCAAAGGTCTCATTTGACTCCTTTTTAGAAGCAACCTCCAATGAGCTTGAAGATGAGAATTCAAAGTCGTCTGACATGAGAATTGAAACTTCCTCGTCGGATAACATGTCTATACTGACGTCTTCCACGTCCAGATGCTCTGGTACTTGTGTGTCTGTAGAATGGGAAGATTGTTTCTTTGGTTTACGTCTAGCATATCGGAAAGTCTGTACGATGATAATATTTATCGGAAGAACAATAATACCACTTTGGACACCTATGATCAGTTGTTGCCATGAGAATGCAAAGACACCGAAGTCCATCTTCTGACTATTTGGATCTTCTGGTATACCATAAAACATGATATTTGCCAACATAGTGCAAAGGAGCATGGACAAACAGCAAGATAAACGTTGAAGACGAGTAAAGTGACTATGCGCTGGACATCCTATTATGGAAAACCACAGGTGACGATCGCGGAGATCTTTAGCGGTCTTAGCAACAAAAAGATGATTGAACTGTTTCAAGTCGTGATCTGTAGCCGTGTTAAAGAACTTATCAACTAATCCGTCATCAATGTCTACAGCCAACCATGTGTTACACAAAAAATACCAACGTTCGTCTGTTTCTAGGTCATGGACCATAATGTGACCAACAAACCTAAATAGAAACAACGGTAGAATAAATGGGGTCTATCATTATTGGTGATCATTCAATATGGAAGTCATATGCAGATTGAGCTATGAAGCACAATCAGTAGTTATGGAGTGCACAAGTTATGCGTGCACGAATTTGTCGCTCAGCTGCTAATTTATTTTTATCCGGTCAATCAAAAATCCCATCATGCAATGAGTTGTCAAAATGAAATGTTTCATGTTCCAAGTTCGCTTGGATGCAGTTGCAACAAATGTCATATACATTTTAATATAAGGAAAAAGCTTAAAATGCATTTGTCCAGTACGGCTAATCATCTAAAAATCAGAAAAATTTGAATGCAACTGCACGATGACCATGCCGTTCTAATTATTTCATCCAATCCCACAATGCACTTGATTTTGCTTACCATTCAGGATCACTACCAACGTTGTCGTGCCACAACCTAATGGATTTGAGGCTACCCAAACTCTCGTTTGTAGTCATTAGAAATGAGTCTGTCGTGCCTCGCTGTAAAATTTTCTTGTTTTTATCGGCTAAGACATGAGGTTCACTCTCCTGATTCTCACCGTACAGAGTCACTGTGACATTAGCAGTTGTGCCTGCACCACGTCGGAATCCTGTATGTACTGTGATGTCATACCGATACAGGGCATATGGGTCGTTGTCTTCAAGTACCGTCACACCAGCCTACAAAGAGTAACGTTCACACTATTAAAATACAACGACAAATATATGGATTTGTCCTTTTTATACATTTATACACTTCTTCGATTACCATTTTTAGTTTCAGATCGATAGAACAATATTTATTTCACCTAATTAACGATGTTAACATTTAGTCATAAATGTAGCAGTATAATTTATCTAAAGTGCGCAGTCTACAGACAACTTTTGTTTCTATTCTAACAAATAATAAAAACAAAAGAATCAATTTGATAACAATGGAAGTCATTGCATTTTACCTGTGCTGCATCATGTCTATCTTTCCGATATGCCCATACCGCAATAAAGAGATAAATGACAAATATAGTAGCTACAGTAGAAACTACAACGGGATTATCAACAAACGTTAAAAATAGTGCTGCATCCTTAATAAAATCGACGGTGTTGGGCATCACAAATAACGAACTACCAAACACAGTTAGATGATTACAAAGACAGTGTGTCAAAGAAGGCGTCGTCAGCCGTCCGGCCTGCATAAAAAAAAAAATCAAATAATTACTTAAACAATATTAGAAGATACACCGGTACCTCAGCAGGCAAGCTACGAGGCAACCTTGCCTATGACATCACCGTGCACAAAAAATGCTTCCATTCTTGGTTGACCCAATAGAGGGCGCTTAAATATTGTCAAAATGGTGGCGACTATATTGGATACTATATGGGATCAATAATATTTTTTTTTTTCATTATTTAAAAAAGTGTTCATAACTGCTGTTATGTGACCAACAATATTGACAGAATTGACCTTTCCTTCAAGGTAGGAAGCCTGTTTTTGAATACAAATACCCAGAATTTAATCATTTTCCGATAAATTGTACTTACGAATAAAACAAACAATATTGACTTGGGAGTTGGGAGTCGATCACCAAGCTTAATTTTTGTATTTTAGTGAATAGTAGCTATTTTGTCAGCTTGTCCTTGTCAGATATTATGCCATATCTCAAATTGTAGGCTGGTGACAGAGACTGAGAAAATTATATATTGTGAATGACAGGGGTACTTTTTGTTGTCCTAAATTATTTAAAAAATCAGGATTTTAAAAAGTGTTAAAAAATGCTCTGCGGAATCGCAATTTAAATAGCAATTTTTGAAAAATATTAGAACATGTTTCTCAAAATACTTTACTGTAACACTATTTCATGGTGCCATGGGACAACAGCTTTGTGATTTTACACAATAAACCAATCAACATTGTCATACAATTTATGACAAAATTTTTCAAAAATTATGAGTAGGATCCTACCTTAAAGGCATGTAATTAACCAACAAAAGTGTGTAATGTTACATTAGTACATCCCAATTTTGTTTGATAAAATTTTTTTTTTTATTTTGAGCAAAATAATGCAGTATTAGCCGATGACTAGAATTATTTTATCCTCATCGAAAGCCCAGGATGTCCCTCAGACTTTCCATGTATGGAGACAGCTAGGTTTCAGTGCAGTTCATACTGATGAGGATTGTTTAAAGCAGGGGAGTCATCACCTGCGCATGCATCAGATGGCCATAGCGTGTCATTGTTTACAAACATGTGTCTAACCATGGGCCTTTGCGTTTTTAACATGTGTTGTTATCATCGCTTGGGACTCAATTTTCACATGTGCACAGGTGACGACCCTCCCGCCTTAAACACAGCATTATTTTCAACTGGAATAAAAAAGTAAATAAATGACATAATAAAAACTGACCCTACAGCCATGTGCCAGCCATTTATAAACATCTTCGTCCCAGTATTGGCACTCAGTGGTGTACGTATAGACGTCAAAAGTAACATTTTCTTCTAAGGCAGCACCTTGCGGCACAATAGTGACATAATAGGTTCCTAGTCCACTCAGATCACTAGACGATAAAAACCAGGTATTTTCATCTGGTAATGCATTAAACTCTGTGTCATCCTGCTGAATAATACGAGGTAGCGATGTATTACTGTCACTTTCTCCCAAAGAAGCAGGAATATTAAAGCTGAGATGGAGGCGGAACGTAATGCCGGGTGTGTTACTTTTAACCCCTATCACTGCAGATTCAAATAAACTTGTGATATTGAAATCCAACACAGCTCTGGTGTCATTGGAAACATCCATTGTAAATGACTGACTTGGAATCTGTCTTGTTGTCTGTGGCAGAAAAAACTCAATATCTGCAGTCAAGTCAGTAACTGTAATAATATAAAAAAAAGAGAAATTTGTTATAGAATAATTTCAGATATTAATTGTTAAATAACAAGGCTAATATATTTTTTAAAAACATTTACTTGTATTTGAAGGACAGTGATCTGTGTGCGGCACATGTTAGAATTCTGTGTTAACAGATATTGTAGTTTACATGTGTGGATTGCACTATGAGACCCATTTTGAACAGGGCACCACCACCACCATCCTTCAATTTCACTATTTTGAGCACATATATAACACTGAGTTTAAACCCTTTGAATGACAAGGTTAACTTTTGTCACTGCACAATAAATAAAACCTGCATAATTTTTTACATGATTTTTCAAAAATTTTGATTAAGACCTGTAGGCCACTGAAAATTAAGTCCATTTGGTTAAAAATTAACAAATAAATTATAGAAAAATGCAGAAAAACATTACATCAAAGGTTAAATTCAAGAATTGGTAAACAATGTGAATGTTCACATGGATTTAATTTAAATTAATAGATTACATTTAGCGAAATTCACGATTTAAAAATCCAGTGTGAAGTTATTGCATCTATAGTAGAGTCTATCTCAGGAACAGCAAAGCAAATGTGAGATATCTGACGACAACAAAGTATTATACTGTACAGTAAAACCAATAAAGTAGGGAATGATTGAAAACAGTGTTAAAAAAATATACCTTGAATTGTTTGATCACTGGAGGTTTTCAACTGCAGGCCCATTATTCCTTTCTGAACATTTTTACTGGACGGATCCCACGTAAAGGGATTATTCAGCATATGAAGTAACTAGAGGATGTAAAATTACAAGATAAAAGCAAGGTCCAAAGTGGGTATAGGATAATGACACACAGAATCTGTGCTGCAGAATCATGTATTACAATAAAAATTCTCTGTTTCTTGTTACATGGAAATTTTAAAATGATGCGGCGAGGCTAAAATGGGGGAAATATGAGACAAGTGCGAGTACAAGCACATTTTGGAATGCTTTAGAAGGAAAAGGCTCATAGTTCAAAATTCTGCACGCGAAAACGAGAAACAGAGATATTTTTTTTTCACAGCCTTAAAGTTTTTCAGCACCAGTTCCCTCTTTTCATCACAAATTTAGAAAATGGTCCAAGTTTATAGTCAAAAGTTTCCTTCAGAAGACTGGGACAAAAATAGCCAAATTTTTTGAGTCAAAACTGAAGATTTTGTCTGTTAGCTCCAAAATTAGGTTTCGCTTCCAAAAATATTGAAGAATATAAGAAAAAAGTGTGGACAAATTTGGGTGAGAAAGTCTGGTGATGATAAGGATAAATATTATTGTCTGGCCTGTGAACAATATATGACCCAGGTACAGTAACAGATTGTAAAAGATTTGTAGAAAAGAAACATCCATGGTACATGTACCAAGTAACAAAGCAATTGAGCTGATATTTTTAAAGAAGTCAAAAATAGCTTTTTTTACTAGAAATGGACAAAAGTATTTGCTAAAAATTGAGAATTGAAATGAACAAATCTCACACAGTTACATGCCATGTATCTCAGCAATTGAGCTGGTAGTTTTCAAGAAGAACTTGAAAATAGCATTTTCTACCAAGAGTGACAAAAATATTTGCTAAAATTAGCAAATTGAAAATATCAACACAAAAATGAACAAGTCATTAAAAATTACACAGTCTCCATTAAATTTGTGAAAGTTCTCTTTGTGCTTGTCATATTAAAGTGGAGGGGTTGTTGTCAGCGTGTCCTTGAAACTTGAGTCCAAAGTGACGTATACAACAGATTGTTTATTTACATCAAATTCGAACACGTGTTGCGTGACGACCCCTCCAGTTTAAGACATAGCAAAGAAAAACATAGATCACAAGTGAAAGCATGTCCAAGATACCACATTTAAAAAAAAAACAAGATGCATGCCAGTCGGCCATCTTTTATCCAATTGCGAAAACATTTTTCATGGACATGTATCCTAACATGTATAATCTATGAACCAATTTTGAATAAAAACTGACAAAAAGCATGTCCAAAATACAACATTTTCAAAAAACAAGATGGCTGCCAGTCGGCCATTTTGAATCAAATCACTAAATCACTGCATGTGCATATGTCCCACATAAAGTACTAGGCACATGCAAAGAATGAACGAAATTGGTCTAAAAGATTCTGAAATATGATTTGCACGGATGCACACACAGACGGACGGACGGACAGACACACACACACAGACAGTCGAAGGACATGTATTCTAACATGTATAATCTATGTGCCAAATTTGAATGAAAACTGACAAAGCATGTTCAAAATACTTCATTAAAAAAAAACAAGATGTCTGCCAGTCAGCCATCTTTTATTCAATTGCGAAAGAAATTGTCATGGACATGTATTCTAATATGTATAATCTATGAACCAATTTTGAATGAAAACTGACAAAGCGTGTCCAAAATACAACATTTTCAAAAAAACAAGATGGCTGCCAGTAGGCCATTTTGAATCCAATCACTAAACCACTGCATGTGCATATGTCCCACATAAAGTACTAGGCACATGCAAAGATTGAAAAAAATTTGACCAAAATATTCTGAAATATGATTCCGCACGGATGCACGAACAGACGGACAAACGGACGGACAGACAGACGCACGGATGGACGCACACACAGACAGTCGGAGGACGTGTATCCTAACATGTATAATCTATGTACCAAATTTGAATGAAAACTGACAAAGCATGTCCAAAATACGACATTTTCAAAAAACAAAATGGCTGCCAGTCAGCTATTTTGAATAAAAACCACTAAACCACTGCATATGTCCCACAATAAGTACTAGGCACATGCAAAGAATGAATGGAATCGGTCTGACGAATTCTAAAATATGACTCTGGACGAACGGACGGACGCACGGATGGACGGACGGAGACCAAATTATAGTACACAGATCCAACCTTGTTTTCAAGAAGGAATTCGAAAATGGATTTTTTTACCAAAAATGACAAAAATATACGCTAAAACTAGAGAACTCAAAATACTGTCACAAACTGAACAAATCTAATAGAGGTCCACCTAAGACAGTATGCGGCAGCATAGATGCATGGTTGGAACTCTCATCTTTGTCCATAAGTAATTTCTATTTATATTTAATGTTTGCTTGGAATCCATTTCAGTTGTGAAAATAATTATTAATCAAATTTGTTTTCAGCAAAAATAAGATTGAATATAAACTACCTGTGTATCTATTGCATCCGAGTAGTTTTCAGGTAAGGATTTTGACAAAGCGCTGTAATCAGGTAATATGAATCCACCATCAGTGTCTTCATCTTGAAACACAGCATTATTCAAACTTTCTACTTCCTGTCTGTTGAGGGTTACTGCTAGTAAATCTGTTTTCAATACTGTAGGTTTTTCACCAGAGACTTTATTCACTAGAATGGCAGACTGGATGTTTTCTAAGGTTGTGAGCAAAGAAAGCGTCACATTTCGTCTCTGTAATCAATGAGAAAAATAAGTTTTATTGAATATGATGATATCACAAGAATAGTGCAGTATGGGGATTGTATCAACCGGCACTTAACAGAGGTCAATGCAATCCCTAACTTACACTACAGTGCATACTTTGTAGTATTCTCATAGTAACCTTAATATTATACATTTTTTTTCCTGCTTGTAATAATAATAATTTAATGAGAGATAACAGCCAATGAATAATATTTTGCACTGTTCAAATTTTTGGCTTCAGTGACAGGAGTCCTATTTCCATCAGTGTGCATACAGGGTCTACAATCAAGAAAAGTTTGTTTAATTTCAGTATAAATAGAAAAGCAATTTGATAGCAAATCAAGCCAAGCCTGGAAACTGTTTACTTTGTTTTTATGCAAATTACTTATAAAAACAAAAGGATAGTAACATCTGAACACTGTCACAATGTTGATAATGGTGCAAACTTTGTGATTTGTGAAAATAGAATTCTAATAACTAACTCCTGCATTTAGTGACTGGCTGTTTGTTTCCTTGTTGTCATCGTCTGTGGCATTATTTATGTCGTCTTGTATTTCTGATGAAACCAACGATGCACCTATGATGTTAGATAAACCGGACATGATAGTCCGTGCTACCGTTTCAACAACTTCTCCCCCAGTACTAGATGACACTGACTTCAGAAAACTACCCATCTTGTCATATGCTGAAGCAGCTTGTGCCTAAAAACAAAGAGTAGGTAGAAATATTAGACAATTGGATACATGTCTGTGTATCGGTAACTATCACAACCGAGATCAAAGGATCTTTTTTGCATTGCATCTTACTAAACCAATGAGGATGAAAACTTTAATTTACAATATTTTTACATAATTTGGTTTACTGTATTACATCATCATAAAAAAGTGTTACATTTATGGGACTATTTTATTTGAGGGTGTTATACACCACCTGATCACCGCACATGTCAAAAGTAGTGCGATGGGTGCTCAAAACGGTGGAATAAATAACTCTCCGGTTAATTTGATATCTGTGTTCCTGAGACAATACGTTATAGTATGAATTATCATAAAATAAAAAGGTTTTTGGCAGCAAACTTGGCAATAATCGATCAATGAAATAATGAAAAAAGTCTAAGAGAGCATTTACTTTACCTGTATGAATAGTAAAAACATACACACTTAGAGTTATAAATATTGCCTCTTAGTAAAGTAATATATGACTTCAGAAACAAGACATGAATGTCATAGTCCCCGTCATTTAATTATAAAATACTCATGTTAAAATAATACATGGAACATCTGCAAACAATTGAATTAATATGTACACTATGAAGAAATCACAAAGTCATTGTTTCCATAGCAACAAGTTCGACTACCCTTGATTTCTCAGCATTTAACAACAGATCCAGAGTTTTAGTCTTTCTAAAATTTTCATATGTTCACTGGCTAACTGTGGCCATCCTTAAAATATTTCAATTGAAAAGAACCAAGAATCACTCACACAACATAAGTTGTAAAGTTGTAAATTGCAAGTCAATGGGTTTTTTCATTAAAAACGCCAATCAAGCACAGAAGAACTTCACAGACAAGATGAAAATCATTTAAATTATGGGAGAGAAACACCAATTCACCTGTGCATCTTCTGACACTTCATCTTTTTCTTGTGTAGCCATGTTGATAGCATCTGATGTCTGCTGCAACATTTCTAAAGATTCCACTGGCATGAGGGATAGTGTTTTCACCAACACTGTGCGTACCTATAGTTGGAGTTTACATAAAATATTCAGAATTATCCCAAGATCAGATAATTGTTATAACAAAATTAATTTCCATGCCAAGTTGAATCCTAAAATCGCTAAAAATGTAATTCCACACAAAAAAAAGCTTTCAGTATAAACTAAATATTGCAGCAAATGTTCTTCTCTATGAAGTATATATTACTAGTATGAGGTTATTACACAGTGTGCACAACGACAGTACAGGGAGAGTATCGAGTGACACGCAGCGGAGGTCGATGCGATCGTGTACTGTCTGAGTGTATACTTTGCAGTATCCTCGTAATAACCTTATTAGTATACATCTTTTCCTCCCACGAATACATCATGAGAATGCGGAAATCCAAAGCGTGTAGAACAGATTCATGAACTTTTTTGTCTGGGGTTCAGTCAAACACTGGGGCCATGTTTGTTTTTATTATTAGAGGACACTTACGCACATAATCGTTCCATATTTGGAATTTGCATTTCCTAATATGGTAGGATGAAAATACCCAGTGCAATACCACAAAAATACGGCACACTGTAACTTATGGTGTTACAGTGACAGATGTATAATAATAGTATAAATTACTAGTAGAGGGTGGGCTTACCGTATGCACAAGGACCACCTTAGAAAAGATAATTTTTTTTGGGGGGGGGGGGTTTGAAATTGTAACCATCTTCCTACCAATGAAAAACTATTCAAATAAAATTGTTTGTTCACAGGGCTGGTCACCGAGAAATATTACGTCTTTTGAGGAAAAAATTGCAAAACAATCGAGTCGTCATTGATTTCCACAACATTTTTTACAATGAATAAACAAACATGTTCATAAAAATACACACATTTTATTACAATGTGCTTTACATATCGTCTGAATTTACTGTGCAAAAATGAGTATCATGGTTTGTGGGAAAACAGTTGAAGGCAAGATCTTTATCATTATTTTCATTGGAGAATGTTCTCGATTGTACGCAAACTCCCAATACAAAGCAATTTTTGCCATGATGTTTTTCATGATGATTTGACCTGAAACAACTTCCTTTGACCTAACAGGTCACGCTTTCGTTAACTAATCAAAATGCTGTGTCGTACAGACAAAGTTCTCTGATTATTTCAGAAGTAATTTTTTCAACGCAATGTTGAAGTGAATTACCACGATGTTAAAATGAGATCCACTATCCACTATTGCGAATACTATGGTTTCCTTGTCCAGGGGAACAGTAAAGACGCAGTTATTAGGGAGTGGAACATTATTTAAAAGGGAAAAAAATGTTGTGGCTGTCTTGGTTTCATTGAGATTTTGGCGGCCATTTATACATGTAAAGGTCTATTAGAACACACACCTTCAACTTTCAACTCAATTTTTGTAACAAGTGTTACATTTTTTTCAGAGTAAAAGGAAGCTACATTCATGGATGTGATAATCTGTTTTGGTAGCCAACTAACTTAATGCTAATATTCCTACAAATACCTCAGTATTCTGTCTCTTATCCTCTTCCTTCTGTTTTGTATTGTTTGTTGACTGTGCATTCAACCACGAACTGACCGTACCAATCAGCTGTGTGGCTCTTTGCATATCTCCTGCCTTCATCATCGACTCAAGCGCAGAGTCTTCCGCCATTGTGAGATCCACAACTTTTTCACCGACAGCGTCTGAATCTGTTTCAGGTTCCATAACCTGGAATTATTGAGTTATGACATCATGATATCAATTCTCCTGAATTAGTAATGTACAGAAGTTACATACAATAAAATACTTTATTTTTAATATATGGAATTAATTTTCGCTGAAAAGACATACCGGTAATGGGTGTTTTGTATGGAATTTATTTCCACTGATTTTTGATGAGTTGAATGTGAAATATAGGAAAAAAAGTATATTTCCTGGATTTTATTTTCACTGATTTATCCCTTCAGCGAAAATAGCGAAAATTAATTCCAAGTAATTAAATTCACAATGAATGTGTTCACCTGTCAGTTATGTTAAACTGAAGTCTTGATAAAGTAATATTCACTAGAAAGGTACATCATGTATGTGTGAATTCTGAATGTAACATTGATTCTAACATGATATATTGATAACGTTATACATGCATACAGAAGTTTGACTGTGAAGAGTCATAGACAGATGGTCACATACATTCACGTAATAGCTATATGGATAAAATACTGTAAAATACTTAATTTTAGCTGCAATAAATTTTTGCTGAAAAGACATTTTTGAGTGTTTTGTATGGAATTTATTTTCAATGTTTTTTGACGAGTTGAATGTAAAATATAGGAAAAAAAGTATATTCGCTGGATTTTATTTTCACTGAATCATTCCTTCAGTAAAAATAGTGAAAATTAATTCCAAGCGAAAATTAAGTATTCTACAGTATATGGATAAAATACAGTAATTTAAAAATACTTTATTATAGATGGAATTAATTTTCGCTGGAAAGACATTTTTGGGTGTTTTGTATGAAATTTACTTTCACTGGTTTTTGGCGAGTTGAATGTAAAATATAGGAAAAAAGGTATATTTGCTGGATTTTATTTTCACTGAATCATATTCCTTCAGCGAAATTAATTCCAAGCAGAAATAAAGTATTTTACAGTACGTCAATTCTGTTACTAAATTTAAGAGTATCTTTAAGGCTAATAAGTTTATTTTTATAATTAATTATACAGCTAAAATGATTTTTGGTTTATTGGTGCGGAATATGAAATGTATTATGCTGAATGAAACCTACCCTTGCATGTGTAGTAACTTGTACAGTAGCTCCATATACGTCAGAGACTCTGACTACAATATCAATAGTATAATTGTTCTGAGCCAGGCCCAATGGTAAATAAATCGATGGTCGATATGGATCGTTTCCATAGTACAGCAAAGAACCTAGTATCAAAATACACATGTATTAATGTCAATATAAAACGTATTTATGTGGTAAAAGGTTATGTCAAAATTTTTCAACTTTTCAACAAAACTGGTCATACAGCGAAAACCATTGCAGTTTGAAAATTGGATAGTAAAACTGCTTGTGTTTTTATTAAACTAGTCTAAGTGAAAATAAACATGTGCCTAGAAATAACACACACTGACTCAGAGAACATCAGAGACAAAGTAGCCAAGCATTATTATATACATGCTTTTATACTCTTGTTTGACGACAGATTCTTGTTACTACAATATTATTTGATTTGACTTTAATAGGATTATTATTTTAATTTTTATTATTGGATATTAAAGATTATTATTATTTTTTCAGTTATCATCAAACAGGACAAAAAGTTACACATTGCACATATTGAACCGTCCAGCTGAATCAATTAACGTCAACATGGCATGTGCATATTTAGAAAGAAGACATTCATAACTGTCAGACTTCTCAATCATACACACCTGCTTTATGATCCAAAGAATTGATAGTTGCTCTTTTCTCTCCTCCAGTAATAACAGAAAACTCGTACATGAGTGGGAGGTCATCATCACTGAAACCTTGACAATTGAGGGTAAAGATAGTTTCGAGAAGATAACCAGATATCGGTGATACTGTGCATGTACCGGGTGACGGCGGTGAATTCACGATAACGGCATACTCAGAAAATCCTTCTTCTCTTCCAATAACTGTGCCTATGAGAACCACAAACTTGTAAGATTAATGTTTTTTGTTTGTTTTTTCATTTCAGGAAATATGTAATCAAAGAAAATTGCATAAAATTATTAAAACTTTTGTTGAAACAAAAAAGAATATGTATTCTTTTCATTTTCTAAAACCACACAGTTGGTCTGATTTTTAAGGTTTTTACAATTTCTGTGAAAATGTATTTATTATATCAATGTGGGTACAGTGAAAAAGATGCTTTAATTTAAGCTGTTTTGGTCTGATTGTATGATTTATCCACTTAAATTTAAGCATTTGAAAATTACTAACCAGGCTTTTTAAGAAAATGACATGGCACACCTTTAACCTTATATGCTTTAATTTTCAATATATAGAAATCAGTTATCTCAGAGAACCATGATTGTGAACACTTTCAAATATTAGGATTTAGTTTTATATTAAATCCCAAAATGATTTTAGCCAGCCATATTTAATGAAATCTAGAACTAATTGACATGCCTAAATGACATCATACAATACCCATACCAATTTTGTAAAAAAAAATGGACAATGCATATCAGAGAAAGTTAGTTATGCCTACCATCCCTCTTGGGATCTCGGCCCTGTGCCAGTTTTTCCACACCGGACATCAGGTGTCAGAGAAATGGCTGTTAAATCAGTTTTGTGAGGAATGGCTGTACAAAACTAATTTAATTTAAAACAAAATTAATAGTCCTTACTTTGTCCAAACAGAAACTAAAAATCATGAAAATAAGAGAAATTTTCTTATTCTCAAATTAAATTGTTCAAGCAATAAAAAAAAACAATGTTGATGACACGCTAGGACCCCACTAGGTGAGTAGGAAAGTGGCAATCCTGTTAAAATACTTGTAATAAACACTGTAAAATAGGTTGAAATAGCTAAGCGTCATTTTAGCTAATCAGAGAAATTACAGATTAGCTAAATTAGCTAAAATAGCATGCTAGCTAAAAATACATGTTTTACACAATGGTGCGTGACGATCTATTTGTGTGGTTGGATGGTGATGGAGATTCATGGATGTCTATTGGGGGGGGGGGGCGACTATGTCCCGCTAACAGGACTTTATTTTTGCATGAATGAAATCAGGGTTCTACATGCATAATTCACAAGAAGAAGGTGGACGAAATCAGATCAGTTTTTTGTTAATTGCACTCACCACTAAGTTTTAGTTTGTAGCTTTCATCAGTGTTAGTGAAAACATCTACATTGATGGCTAGATTCTTTCCAAATATACCAGTGCTCGTCATTGCATCTAGATCGATGTTCGTCAAAGTACCGTCTTCATATAACAATTCCCATTTGTAAGTAATCTTTGATAACGTGGTACAGTCGGAACAATGAGCAGATAACACCAGTCGTTTTGATGGGTTCATTTTCTCATCACAATTCTGCAAACATCTGTTGGAAAATTACATAATTATCATTTATTTAAAGTTGTCTTCATTCAAACGAGTTCACTGTATAGATCAAGTCAGAGACAAAAATAGTTAAATTCTGCTGACCTTGCCCATTGTATACTTGATTAGTTATGTATGTTCATGAACTATTTTTATTATGGACGTCAGAAGTTTGATTTTTCGGTAAAGGTGTATTATCTGCTAAAACATTTGAATGTCTTTACCATTTATAATCAATTAATGCGCCATGAACCGATTGTTACAAATTTATTGTATGCAACACAATTTTGAATTCTGTATTGAGAATTCAAAGCATGTTCAGTCTTGAACATGCTCAAGTCAACTATGAAACTAGAAAGTTTGAAATGTTTCGTATTCATTTAAAGTTTGCTTGCATGCAGTATATTGGGAATGAATGTTAAGAGTTCTCCAATAAAGTCAGAAGGAAGATCCGGAATGCATGAAGAAAAATATAAGAGGCAGCTGTGCTCATCAATCGTAAGGGAATGTTTTGGATTTTAATTTAAGAAAGCCACATTAGAGACATGAATTTCAAGTGCAATTTGCTAGCCTTTAAGACTCCCTAAGATGCTGAAAACTCAAAAATTACAGCCATTCGGCTACTAAATACAACTTTAAACCATGAGCATGAGGGAATGCGTTTCATTTCATTTCAATGGCAGATTACAGAAATGATCAGTATACCTGATTGTCATGCTGGGGGGATTACCAGCGACAATACTAATCAGCTGTTGAGCTGTTCCACCAATTCGGTTTAATTTTTTGAATTCTAAATAAAACACATATTCTTCAGAAACTTCTAACGTCTGTGCACTCAATGTGAATGATGCGCTTGTATAATCAGACAGATAAAATCCGTTGCCAAAGCAACCACCTGGAAAAATAAAAAAAAATTGCATTACACCATTCCACAAACATATAATTGTATACATGTAGTTAAATATATATTCCCATACTTATACATACAAATAGACTGCAGGCCCAGTCGTGGTACTTTTTAATAATTCTTAATTCTTGGTCCGACGTGAAATTACCACGACTGGTCTATTCTGAGGCGCATTCATTACTGGTAATAATTCATGATATACATTGACGTTATGGAACCTGGTTGTGGAACAATCACTTCCAAAACAAGAAAGTAAGCATGTGCATGCGCAAAAGATTCTACAGGCTTGTTCTTTGAGGAATTACAGTATCATATAAAATTGCCATGACGACTAGACCAGTCTAATATACATCACATGTTAATTTAGAAAAATGATAAACCTACTCAGAGTCAATTATTAATCAATATTTAGAAATGTATCATAGCTTTATGTATGGTTTCACCAAAACAAATTCAATAACATCGAGGACTATAAAATAAAGATATACAATGTTGATATCTATGTGGATACATGTATATTATGCAATGACAATCTCACTCTGCGTGATCTCCAAACATAATTTTGATCAATCATGCATCAGTGTTGAACTTGTTATCACAGAATATAGTGAAAATAACCTGTGATGAAAAATATATTATTTTTTTTTGAGAAATGAAATGAAAATATCATTGAGCAATATTGAGATCATCTGACTATTTATGTGACTTTAAATTGGCTTTTCATCGTCAGTTACACATCCATTATCTGATTCATCCTTATATATACTAGTATCACTTTATACATGTTCTAGACAATGTACGAGACTTTGGATGCAAGTACCTTCAGAAACAGATGAGATGTCTTCTGGAAATATTTCGTCTGCTTTTCTACAATACCAACTATATTGCAATGCATCCAGATCGGTTGTGTAGTCGGGATCGTATGATTCGCTGCCATCGAGCAAGAGTGACGATTCCCAGCCTGGAATTACAATCGTGGAAAGGTTAATTAAGCTGCGAGAATGAGTAATTACTTATGATACAATACACTACAAGCACATGTAGTTTCACAAAAAAATAGAGAATAAAAGTGAGAAATTGCTTTATATAATTTGCGGTCAATATCAAAAATAATTCAAGTTGAAATACCCGTTCTGTTTTCAATAGTGTTATTGAAAACAGAAATGGTATAGGATGCTGCTCATCACAATGCGAACAATTTGACAGACGATAATGATTGCTCAACTCCTATATACTTTCATGCTTTTGAGTGATTTTGGTGAATGTCAAACATTATTATTCATATTTCATAATATTTAGTGCTGCGATTCACAATGTTTACTTTCAAACAGTCAGCAGTGGAATGGTTTCATAAATTCTACACCTATATATCAAAAGCTGACATCTTACCATAGACCTTAGCTGAACCACCGCTTATTCTAGCAACCAATGCAGACTGGATAATCTCAATGTAAGTTTGGTCACTATTATACACCACAATTTCCATAGTATTGACGTCCACGATAGACACAGTTAATTTGAATACATATATGCCATAGTCCAGCATGGAGGCTGGAATAACCAGTGTAGTTTGCGTGCTATCAATGGTTTCTGGTATCCTGTATAGGTTTGAAGCATCTGGTGTAGTGCCCTCGCTGTCAACTTGATGTAGAGTCCATTCGAAGATAGCTTGGTTGGGGCCATCGCAGTTGATCACAACGTCTGTATTCAATGTGAATCCAACACCTCTTTTGTATGTTGTCAGCTGCGTGGTGTTCGTAATGTCTTGTATCTGAACAGTCGGTAGATCACAAGACTGGCTAACCACGAAGACATTACTTGTGGTCGTGACATCTGACACTGGGTTAGACGCATGAGCCACGACAGAAATGTGTCCAATACTGTCAGACGTATACTCGTACATCACAGCATACGTCTCCAGTGGGTCAAACGGTAGATTATTAGCTGACAGAACATCCTCGGGTAATCCCTCGGTGATTTCTGGCAGCGATAACTCGTAAGTATCATTCCCAATATGCAGCAAATACGTTGCCATAGTACCAACATCAGTAGTAAACAGAATCAAAATGACTTGTTCCCCAACAACCACTGGTCCATTGTTTATCAAATATAATGACCCAACAGCTTCATAAGATGTCAGCAAAATAGTGTCAGTAAAAGTCTCATCCCAAGTTGAAAACACACCAACACTGATCAAGTAGACACCGACATCATCAATTGTATACTTAAAAGTATTTGATCCTTCTGTGTCGTTTTTTAATTCCCCCATAAAAAATATTTGCCATCGAAAAGATGTCCCTAGAGAAGACTGGACAGGTGCTGTAAAAGTCAATGTGTCTCCCACTGTAGCATCTGAAACCACTTCTAAAAATAATAATAACACTTACAATCACAAAGAAATCATCAACAATTGAATTGATTGAGTTGTACTGAGGTGACAAAAACTCAATAGCACACAATTCCAAAATTCAGCCAAGGCCATTTTGACTTATGTAAAGGACAAATTTACTGTAAAGAGGATTTTTGACAACCAATTTCCGTTGGCAGCTAGACAGATGTTATGAACTGTGGCTACCGAAAATGCATACAATATCCCTACTCAACTAAACTCCTCGACCAGTTGAAATTATCTTGGTGCCACTTGACTCCCTAGACTAGTTGAAATTATCTTGGTGCCACTTGACTCCCTAGAGTCATTGAAATTATCTCTGACACTTGACAAGACTAGTTGAAACAGAGTCCCTCCACAACCAGTTATGAAACGCTATTGTCAAAAGGTGTGAACGAGCTTAGATCGAGAAACAGTGCGTGTTTCAGCCTTCCAGCTGAAGTTATGACGTCATAGTTCACGCTGAAGTGCTCACACTGAGGTCGGTCGTTGGTCGAGTCAGAGAAATCAACGTAGTGTAATAGTTTCTTCAAATATATTTCGTAATTGACGCTATTATTCGAGTTTATTTAGTTGTCAGGAACATCTTGAGTGAATATTAGGTTGTGTGTGTCGTTTTTATCCGAGGTATCAAATGATTTGTGACTGGGAACTTCAGGGGCAGTTTTAGAATCGGTCATTGCATTTGTGTTATGACGATGTCGGTAGTTTTGACCTAAATTGTTGACACTTTATCGAATATATAATGATAATTTTTCGAATTATTTTAAAATTGAATAGGATTTTACCAGGTTAATTAATTCAGTTTATTGCATTATAGGACATATATTAAAATTGAAATTGTTTATTTCGCAACTCGTTTGTTTTTTTGTGTGTAAAACAAAATGGCTGCCACTCGGTAGATCGGTTTCATTTTCAAAACGTCGTGATTTCGTAGCTGATTATATACATATATTCATCAATACTTACTGATAGACAGTAATGCTAGTTTTCTGCTCAAATTTATTCTTATTTTGTGTATATTGTTTCCTGAAACGACAGCGATTTTGTATAGTCGCCCGTCATTGCTTCGTCCACTGTTGGCTCGTAATCTAAATTAGACTCTACATCACGGCTTTCCTCCTCTAAATCTGATGGCCAATCAACATTTTCATCGTCAAAATCGACGAAATCATCGTAGGATTTTCACATTACAGTAATATTTTAGAGTGATCACGGAAGTAAAAACTATGTTGACACGAATGAAAACATTGAAAGTACGCATGCGCACTAAAGAAACGCAATGCTTTGTGGGAGAAATTACATCATCGAATATGCTAATTTTATGTTAATGTTGGGGAAACGTCCGTATTTTACCGTTGGCAAAATAAACAACGATTAAGCTGTTAAATAAACAACGGATTAACCGAAACACGCATTGTAACAATAGATATCTGACTGTTTCATAACCGGTTGTGGAGGGACTGTGGTTGAAACTATACCAGTGTCACTTGACTTTTGAGACTGGTTGAAATTATTCTAGTATCATTGACTCCCTAGACTGGTTGAAATTATTCCAGTATCATTGACTACCTAGACTGGTTGAAATTATTCCAGTATCATTGGTGTCCTATTTTTAATGTATCCCCAAAAGTGTTATAATGAGTACATACCACCCTCAGAGTTGGTGACTGTAAGTTCTTCAACACTAACATCTTGTTGACATAACTCGTTATATAATTGACCATCGTAAGATACAAGTACCGATATAGTGTAACTACCAGGTTGATAGTCGTGTGTTATAGATTCTTGTTCGGATAGCAGGTCAGTGACTGAAAACAAACACAAGATAAATGTACATTCAGTAAGTGTAGCGATATTATTCATATCCCGAATACGAGAAGAAGGAATATCTCAATCATACATAGGTAACAAATATTTTGATGCAAGCTTTAAATTAATCAAACAATAAAATTTGTGTGAACTGGAAATCTGTCTTTACCCTGGGTAAACTGGAAACCTGTCTAAACCAAACCCTGTGTAAACTGAAAAACTGCTAAACCAAACCCTGTGTAAACTGAAAAACTGCTAAACCAAACCCTGTGTAAACTGAAAAACTGTCTAAACCAAACCCTGA